AGGTATGCACCACCCCCAGCTTGGACATACATTTCAGCTCATTTCTGGAAGCACATAGGGCACTAGTGTGGTTGGCTAGACTATGTTTTGTTTTTTCAAGAAACTACCACGCTATCCCTGAAGGTGATTATACAGTGTCTCACAACCCCCATGGACAGGCCATCACTGCCTGCCCTTCCTGGGGTTCCATGGATCAGTGCTTTGGATTCGAAAGATTCTGAGTCTTGCAGTGTCCCCGTGCCGTGCGCATGCACATCTCTCGGGACCTGTGGTGCACAGCACCTTTCAACTGTTGCTAAACATTAACTATACTTTTTTTCTTTTTTTAAAAAATATTTTATTTATTCTTTTTATTTATTTATTTTTGTCTTTTTGAGACAGGGTCTCCCTACAGCCCCAGCCGGCCTTAAACTCAGAGTTCCGTCTGCCTCTGCCTCCTAAGTGCTGGGATTAGGTGTATGCCACCATGCCTGGCCTATTCTTTTTATGTTTAACCTGTAATATGCATGAGTGTATTACCTGCATGTATGTAAGTGCACCCGTGTTGTGCAGCATCCACGGAGATCAGAAGAGGGCATCGGATCCCCTGGAACTGAAGTCACAGACAGCTGTTAGTTGTTACATACGTAGGTTCTGGGAACCAAACCCAGGTCCTCTACAAGAGCAGCTGGTACTTTTAGCTGCGGAGCCATCTCTCCAGTGCCCCATCAGCTCTCTTTAGTGAAGTTTGTGTTTAGATGTCTTGCCAAATTTGGGGGATAGTTTATTACATTTTGGATAAAAGTACTGTGTACATTCTTCTCTCCTTCTTTTTGGAAATACTTTGTTCCAGTCCATGAATAGAAGCAGTGATTTTACATTAACTCTCTCACCCTAGGTAAGAGCCTGCATTCTTTAAAATAAAATTTTCATTCTAAAAGCTGGGAGTGGTGGCACACGCCTTTAGTCCCAGCACTTGGAAGGCAGAGGCAGGTGGATCTCTGTGAGATCGAGGCCAGCCTGGTTCCAGGCCAGCTGGGGCTACGGGGAGACCCAAAGCAACAACAAAAGAAACAAATCTTTTTTTCATTTTAGAAGTTTGGGCTTAGCATCCTCATGTTGTATGGAAGACTCATGCTGTCAGCCTGACTGACCCCTTGATGTTGGCCTTGAGCTCCAGGCTTAGTCCTGTGTGCGGCCTCTCTTCGCCATGAGTCACCTGCTTAAGCCCATTCCTCACAGTGCCCTTTGGAAAGAACGTGGTTGGCACAGCCCACTGTTAAGGAGTGGGGAGTCATGTCCCACCTCCTGAAGGCGGCGGAGTCACAGGTTATTGAGAACATATCTGTGAAGTTGTCTCCACCCCCCGCCATTTACTGGTTACTCAGTCTTCCTTATCAGGTAGACTTTCGGGTTTTACTTTGAGCACTTGTCAGTCAATATCTAAAACTGACAGGTTCTAGGATCCCCCAGGTACTGAGCTCCAGGGACACCCAAGTCCCTTCTGTAAGCTGTGACTTTGCACTGAACGCTGGTAGACTAGACCATCTCTAGATTGCTTATAAATCTGATACCTAGATACCAAGAAAACCACTCTTATAGTTTATTTCTTGTTATATTTTATCGTTATTCTTGTTTATATTTTATTGTTATTACTTTCGATCTCTGTGTTGCATTAACTTTTTCTGGGGAGATGTGAACAAATTTCTGTTCACCCAGACCAGAGCATCAGTGACAGAACAAAGACAGTTCCATCAAGACCAGCTTCGCGAACCAATGAGTTTCTCAGGCTTAACTTATGGGGGCACAGAAAGGATTCATTCACAGGAGGATAGTGAGGGGTGACTCACGGGAGCACGGTGAGGGGTCACAAGTGCCTGGGTGACCCCCCCCAATAGCCGTATCACTGAAAAGTCTCACCCAGCATGGATGATGACCATCCCTTAGCTGCATAGTTAGGGTCCCCCTTCATCAACCTTCCACAGTTATACACTCTAGCACCTACCAAGACCATGTGCAGCTGGAGCAGGATCACGTACAGCTGGGTGGGTAGGGCAGGAGAGTGCAGCCAAATCTCTGGTGTGGGTCTGAGGACCCTCCCTACCCCATTCAATGACTAGGCCTAGAGGGTCTGCCGTGGTGGCCACAGCTGCTCTGATGAAGACAGTGATGGCAGACATCAGGAGAGGACAGGCATTCCAGGACACTGTGGTTGGTTGAGCTCACAGCTGAGGACCTGGCTGACACTGCAGTCTCTGAACTCAAAGCAGCTCCCCATCAGGTCCACTCCTGGGAAGGACCCATCTTTGAGATATGCTCACCAGATCTCCTTGCTCCGTGTTGATTCCCCTCAGCACTGAAGTCTCAGTTGTCCCAGGAAATTCTTGGCTTCCTTTAAAGCTTTACCTCAGAGGCCCTCCCCTGGGTGCCCAGCAGAGACTGACAGGGAGACATGGGATGTCAGGTGTAGTGAAGAGACTGGACATCAACTAAGTTGGCTTTAGCTATCAGCTTTACACAGCACAGTTATCTGAGCCTCAGTTGGTGAATCGCCTTGATCAGACTGACCTGTGTCCAAGTCTCTGTGGCATTTTCTTGATTGCTGATTGATGTGGGAGGGCTCAGCCTACTGTGGGTGGTGCCATTCTTATGCAGGTGATTCTGGGCTTTATAAGAAAGAAGCTGAGCAAGCCAGGGGCTGCAAGCTGGTAAGCAGCGCTCCTCCGTGGTCTCTGCTTCAGTTCCTGCCTCCAGGTTTCTACCTTGAGCTACTGCTCTGGCTTCCCTCAGTGATGGACTGTGACCTGGGAGATGTAAGAGAAAATAAACCCTTTTCTCTCCAAGTTGGTTTTGGTCAGCGTTTTAGCCTAGCGACAGAGAAGCAAACTAGGACACGGGATTCCGGGCTGTATAACAAAGCTGAGCAGAACTAGGGGATGAGCCAGTCAGCAGCATTCCGCCATGGTTTCTGCCCAGGTTCCCACTTCGTTCCTGCCCTGACTTCCCTCCGTGATGGACTGTGACATAGAGCCAGATAAAGCCTTTCCGCCCCCGAGTTGCTTTTGGTCAGTGTTGTATCACAGCATTGGAAAAGCAGACTAGAAAGGAAAGCATGCCTGGCCATCAGGAGAGGGACAGTGGACATCCCCAGGATGTCCCTGTGGGTGATGCCTGGGGCTCTCCACAAAGAACCAGGATGTGGAGGAACCCACAGGAACAGGGCACCTTGTGCAGGAGTGAATGTGTGGTTTAAAAACAATCTGGGGGCAGGGACAGGGTGAAGGGTACTTGCTGTTTCTGTAGAAGACCCCGGTTTGGCTTCCACCACCCACAAAACAACTAAAACCCATCCTCAACAGCCTCTCTTCTGGTCTCCATGGGCACCAGGCATGCATGTGGTGCACTTATATATATGCAGGCAAAACACTTATATACATAAAATAAATGTAAACAAAATCTTTTAAAAATTGGGGTGGCATAGAAAGATGGCTCAGCAATCAAGAGCACTTGCTGCTCTTGTAGAGAACCTGGGTTCGGCTCCCAGCACCCATTTGGAGGGTCACAACCTCCTGTTACTCAGTTCTAGGGGATCTGATGCCCTCTTCTGGCCTCCACAGGCTCTTACACTTGATGAAATAAATATACATTTAAAAAATTTGGGACTGGAGAGATGGCTCAGGGGTAAGAGCACTGGCACCGGGGTTCGATTCCCAGCACCCACATGGCAGCTAACCACCATCTGTAACTCCAGTTCCAGGGGATCCAGCACTGTCTTCTGACCTCCGTAAGCACTGTATGACACGGGTGCACTTACATACATGCAGACAGTACACTCATACACATAAAATAAAAAATACACAATATGGGTTCATGGAGGTGTTGGTCACCTTGGGGACTAACTATTCCTTCCCAAATCATGCTTGGAGACTGTGACTCTGTTAATATGTGTGTGTGTGTGTGTGTGTGTGTGTGTGTGTGTGTGTGTGTACCCACATGTGTGAATGCACCATATATCCACATGTTGGGACCAAAGCTGTCTCCGTCATGTCCCACATTATTTTTTTAGACAGGGTTTCTTGCTTAACCTGGAATTAACTGTTTTGGTTGGACTGGCTGGCCAATCAGCTGCCAGGCTCCACCGGTCTCCACTGGGGTTCTAGACATGCATCGCTGAACCCAGCTTTTACATGGGTGTTGGGATGTGAACCCAGATCCTTATGCTTGTGCAGCAAGCGCTTTGCCCTCTGAGCTGTGTCCCCGGCCTGAGACAGTGACTCTCCCCTGGATCACAGTGACCTGTGTGGTGCTCTGTGCCCCACTTTAATGTCAGCACCACCCAGATGGACCACAGTAAGCACCCTGCTCAGCCTGGGGGAGGGGAGGGAAGGCACATGGTAACCAGCGCTGACATCCTCAGCTACAGCCAGCCGTCCACAGGTCTAGAATCATCTTGGGAATAGGGACCTTTCTTGTCCCTTGTCCCCACAAAGGCAGACCCCTCCCTCCCTCTGCCCCACTTCTTGTGTCACCCTGCACTAGACGTTGAGTGACGTGATGGGCTCGCTGGTCACCTGGATGTGGCTCCCAGGGGACTCCAGCTCTTGCCTGTGCCTGGACCCCTCTCCCATTACCCAGTTCCTGATAGCCACAAAGGTATCTGTGCCCATCACGAAGCTGAAGGCGAAAGGGTGCCTGCCTTTTGAATGTCTAATTAGAGCCCTAGTCCATTGCTCCTTTGAGGAACACTTAAGATGGAGCCACAGGACTCAGGACTCTGCCCTCTGAGAGGAGAGGGGAGCGGGGACCCCCAGGCCTCATGGCATCAAGACCCACACTGTAGAAACCGTGCTACTGATGTTTGAATTTGCACGTGACCCCGCATCTCTGTTGTCATGGCTGCCTGAGCCACCCTGACTGTGTGGACTGCTGCAGGGGTTCATTCTGTAAGTTCAGTGTCAGGCAGTATGATGAGGCTGAGTGAACAGTGTTGTTTCTAAAGCCTGTGTGTTTGGTCCCCTCAGAGACGCCCCTGACCCTGGCCGCCCAGCTGCATGACTCCATGGAGATCATCAAAGTGCTCAGAAATGGCGGTGCACATCTGGACTTCCGTGCCAGGGACGGGATGACTGCCCTTCACAAGGCCGCCAGGGCAAGGAACCAGGTTGCCCTGAAGGTATGCCCGAAGCCTGCCTTGGGTAAGGGACACCTTCCTGCCTCCATTGTGGCCACAGAGTCTGCTGGGACACAGGGTTCCAGGCCCGGGGAAGCTCTGTCTAGGAGCTGCAGTTCTGACTACACCCTCTTCTGGGAGCAGGCTGGTCCTGCATCTCAAAGTACCACCTGCCACCTCAAGCCAGCAGTCAGCAGTCAGGACTCCTCGGTTCTGTGGGTGGGAGAAGCATCAGGCGGTCAGCTGTGGCTCAGACTGGCTTGTGGGAGAGTGGACCACACACATCTTCCCTTCATTCCATTTAAGAGGCATCTTGAAATCAGTGACGGCTTTGGATTTTCCTCCTAGACCCTTCTAGAGCTTGGTGCCTCCCCTGATTACAAGGACAGCTACGGCCTCACACCGTTATATCACACAGCCATCGTCGGGGGCGACCCTTACTGCTGTGAGCTCCTTCTGCACGAACATGCGACCGTGTGCTGTAAGGATGAAAACGGTTGGCATGAGATCCACCAGGTATGCCCAAGTCTGTGCCTTCATGTCCCACACCGACCCCCGACCCAGTGACACCCGGGCCAGACTGTAGAGCAGTCGTAGTCAGGCCCCAAGTTCCTAAAAGGTTTGATTGATTGATTACCAGCATTTCCACGCTGACATTTTATCTAGAGATGGCCATATCTGACTTCACAGGAGAAACTGGGTCGCCAAGTGAGGCCCCCGTGTGTCTACAGCAACAGCCCCCTAGAGTGGGGTGGGGGTAGTGGTGAGAAGCCCTCCCAATGCGCTGTGGGCGCTCCAGGCGCTGCCATCCTGGGGACCTGGCAGAGAAGGTACAGGTGGCCCAGGGTGATGCCTGATTTCCTTGCAGGTACAAGGTTTTCAGACCTTGTAACTGTAGAGTTGGGAGGCGTGTCACCCAGTGACCCTGTAACCATGGGGTTGGAGGTGTGTCACCCTGGGACTCTGTAACCACAGGGTCAGGAGGTGAGTCATCTATGACATTGACAAGAACAAAATCTACTTGGTGCCCAAGGTCAGGTGCAGGAAAGAACAGTCCAGTTTCAAGGCTGAGGCTCACAGACAAGCAGTGGTGGGAACCATTACCAGCCCTGGACTGCAGGGCAGAAAAGGTCCTGTGCTCTTGGGAGCAGTGAGCTGGCTGGGGGCACCCGGGAAGCAGGGCCGGGTCCCAAGGGCTATTGGAAGGAATGCTGAGCCCTCTGGAGCTGGAGGTCAGAGCCTGGAAGTCAGGGCCTTTGGTCTAGGTGAAGGAGTCTGGGCAGGCAGGGGAGTCAGGGGAGAGTGTTTGAAATGGTCTCTTGCTAAGTCTGGACACGGCAGCTGTCAGTCATAGTTCCCAGTCTGTCTATGCATCTCCCAAAGCTGGTGTCACTTCCCACACCTGCCCCTCCTGGAGGGAGGATGGCATCACACCCACCCTCCTCAGTCTGGGGCCAAGGAATGCATCCCGTGCAGAGGGAAGTGGGGCTAGCATGCTATACCCTCACGTAGCCTGCCCCTTGTGAGGTCAGTTATAGATTTTGGTACCCCACAGCCTGGAGAAGGCCCCACATCTGTGTGGTGTGAGCAGGGAGCTTATAACACAGTTCTTGGGATCCCAAGCCTACACCAGTGGGGACCTCAGAGCAGCAAGTAATGACCAGCCTGTTCACATCCCCAGTGTGGGGTCCATGACTACTCTGTGAGACAAGTCTTCCACCCTGTGATGAATCTGTAGTGGTCGTTTAGGTGACACCTTGCAGGGCTACAGTACCAGAACTAGTCCAGGTGCTGCTGCAAAGGTGGTCTGTAAGAAGGGGTAAGAGTTCCATCAGGAGACTGTAAGGAGAGAGGTGACCCTCCACAGGAGGTCGGGCCTGTCCAGGCACCCTGAGGACCCAAGGAAGGAGCTCTGCCCAGATGCTCAGGATCCAGCTGTGGTATTGGCCCCTTCCTAGGCCTCCAGCTTCTCTGGGGAGCACACACTCTCCCCATTCTGCTAGGAATTATTCCTCAGGGGCCACGTTCCAGGTCCTACCCCCAATTGGTACCCAGATCCAGGTCCCTAGCCCCTCTGTAACAGAACATGACATTTGCCCGTACTGTGCGCACATTGAACTAGATGTTCTCAGTCATCTCATGAAAACTTTTGTTTTGCTTTGAGATGGGATCTCACACTGTAGCCTAACTGGCTACAGACCAGAACTCCCAGCGTCCAGGCTGGACTTGAACTCTCAGCAATTCTCCTGTCTCAGCCTCTCAGATCTAGGACTTGCGATACCCTGTGCAATGTAAGTTCTCTCTGGCTGGTCTGCAACCACAGAGAACAATGGCAAGAAAAAGATGTTTGCGCCAAGGGCTTCCCATCTATGGTAAATTCCATGGGCGACAGAGCCCACAGATACAGGGGCCAACTACGTACACACATGCACGCACTCCCCTCTGGGTCTGTCCCTCTGGAGAACCCTGATTTTTATAGCCCTGAACAGAGAAGCAGCGTGAGTTCCTGCAGAGACTGGGGTGTTTTGGGGGGCGGGGGGCTGTTCCCTGCTAGGCACCTTCCCAGCTCTGCCTCCTTGGTTCTTACCTCACTGCCAGTAATGACCCACCCCTCACCTCTTGGTGGGTGTGCTCCGTGGGTGTTACCCCTCCGCCCTCTTCCTTCCTTCCTTCTGTCCTGGCCTCCTCTCCCTTGGACCGGGGTTCTTAGCCTACAGGACTGGCCCTCTGCTGGGTGAGCGCTCAAGCCTGGCCCTTCTGAGTCATCTCTGTGTTGGGCAGGATCAACGTCACCTTCTGCTTGGGTGTCTTCCTGACCTGACCTCCCATGCTTTCTCCCGACTTGTGTCTGCAGAGTACTGCAGAGGCTCCCAGGGGCTCCTGGCCTGTCCAGCAATGGACAGAAACTCCCGGCCCATGGGGGAGCCGGACAGGGGACAAACAGATAAAAAGTTGTACCTGCACATGTGTGTACATGTCTGCATGTGTGAGGACATGTACAGAGCAGGCATGTGTGCTCTGTGTCCTCATGCACTGGGGTTGCTTGGCTCATATGGTGGTGGCCAGGAACAGGGAATGCGTGTGTCACCCAAGTTCTCTTAGGGTCCCTTGCTCCTGACGCAGGTAGACAAACCACAGAACACACCTTTATCTGAATTTGGTATAGTTTACACCTTTTCGGGGAGGGAGGGGAGAGGCTTACAAAGAAATGAACACCAGACACCCGGCACCCAGCTCTGTGCAGCTCGGCCCACCGTTCCAGATCGCTTTTGCCCAGTCTGCCTCATCTCATGTCCCCACATGGCCACTCACCCCACAGAGTTCCACGAAAGGTCCACGGCATCCTTGCGAGGTCCCCCAGTGCCCCATGGGGTCCAGGGCAGGCTGGCCCATCTGCTCCCTGTTCCCTGCTTCCCAGAATGGCACCAAATCCTTTCATTCCAATCTCTCCCACACTAGGCTCCACCCTTCTTCCCAGGGTGCCCTGTGCCAGCCCATGGCTCTTCAGAAGTCCAGGAGGAATAAATCATTTTCAGGCTACAGCGTGGCGTGGGCCTCTGTGCCCAACACTCTAGCAGCTGCCCTTGGCCGTCATCTGGGTGGTAGTGTCACAGCTGAGCCTGTTCTCAGTGTAGGCTGTGAAAGGCAGTTTCTGGAAGAACCCAGACAGCCCAGAGAGGCCATTCTAAGCCTTGAAGGACGTGGTATCCAGGACACCAAAGCTCTTGAGAACTCAATTGCAAAACATGTGAGCTGAGTGGAGGCCACCAGCAGGCTCAGGACCAGGGGATTGTGGGGGAAGCAGTGCGGCCATTGGAGCGGTGACACCTCCACCCAGGGACACCCCCCCCCGCGGGGCCAGGTGGGGAGCTCCGGAGTCTGAGTCCCACAGTGTCTGCAAAGTGATTGCTAGACCTGGTGCAGGACTGAGCTGTGACTGGGAGGTCCTTCCCGCCTGGCCCGGGTGATGCTGGGTTACATGTCAAGACTCTTGCTGCTTGCAGATGGTGTTGTATTCGCTGTTTTGCTTAGGATTTCTTTTTTTTAATTTTTCAAGTATGATTCATCTTCACTGAGGTGTTTCTGAACTTGGGAGGTATGAGGAGGCCGGTGGATGTGGGCCTCTGCCGTGCGGAAGTGTTGGCCTGTGCCCCCGTCCCCAGGGATGGATCCAGGTGGTGGCCGTGGTCCCTGAGGTCTCCTTTGGACAGGTGGAGTTTTATGGGCCCATTTCAGTGTCATTCCATAGAGACACTGTGTCTCCATGTACCAGGGCAGTCCCTTGCAAGCATCTATTCTAAAATGTAGGTTCTCTTCCTACTGAGATGTGACAGGGCCAGACATCAGCAAACAACAACATTGAAAAGGGAGTCACAGCCAGGTATGATGCCTGTCACCATTAAATCCTGCCCCCACCCCGACTCGAGAGGCTGAGGCAGGAGGATGGCTGTGAGTTTGAGACCAGCCTGGGATATATAGTGAGACTTTGTCTCAGAAAACTAAAAGGGGCCCTGGAGGGTAGGGTAGAGTTCCTCAAGCCTAGCACTGGGTCAACTGGGTGTGGTGGTGCACACTTGTAATCCCAGCAATCAGAAGGCGGAGGCGGGGATCAGAAAGAAGTCGAAGGTCATTCTCAGCTACCTAGTGAGTCAGGAGTCAGCCTGGGTATAAGAGACCCAGGAAGGAAAGGAGGAAGAGAGGGAAGGAGGTGGGGGGAGGTGCTGTTACTAACAGCCACACGGGCCCCAGGAGTGGGGGGGGGGTACTCCCCGTATATCAGGGACAAGAGCCACCTGGGCAAGGGCTTTGCTACGGTTCTTATGAGAAGGGACCGGCGAGATGGTGAGCAGACCAGGGTGGCCGTGTGGAGCCATCTCAGGGTCATGGGCTCAGGGACTGGTCCCTGGCTGCCTGGCTCCTGTCCTGAGGGCCAAGGGCAGGGACAGTCACCAGGATGCCAAGCTCCATGCAAAGGGTGCAGCGTGGGCTCAGCACTGGGCAGGCGCGTAGGAAAGGCAAGGTAGATCGCTCTGGGAGAGGCATTCACCCCAGGTCATCCAGGCCCTGGATGCCAGTGCACCCCAGTACAGAGGAGAGAATGTGTGGAGCCCAGGCCTGAACTTGGATATACCTCTGGATGGTGCTGCTCCCAGGGCCCCCTCCCCGTTTCTCATCCTGTTTCCTGCCTCTCCCTCCACCAGACCAGCCCCTCCTCACTGCGCAGTGACATCAGCTCACAGGTGTGGCTCTTTTCATGTAAAGCACTCCACTGTGGCCTGTACCTTGGACAGAGCTGTGGTGGCTGGACCGCGGGCGTCTGTGGTGGCAGGCTGGTGCTCAGCCATGATTTCCAAGCCTGGATTCACGGCGCAGCTGCCTCGGTGCCACCTGGACACCTCAGTACCTCGGCCCCTTGGGTCCTGGCCCCTGGTGCCCCCCTGGGGTACCAGCTCCTGATCCTAGAATCCTGAATCCTGTAGGGGTTTTCAGCTTAGCTGTGGGGTTTGCACTGCCCT